GAGGAGCGATGGGTGCAGGAAGCGTGTGGAGGTTGGGGAATTAGCAGAGCTTCCTACAGCTGGAGAAGAAATCTAGGGGTGGGTCTGACACGGCCCTGGATGCCGTGCAGGAGAAGAGGAAATCCTGTCCTCCCCAGCCCAGCTGCAACTAGCAGCTGAGCCCAGTGCAAGGTAGGAGACACCAGCCGGGTCTTCCCCAGTCCCGCCTTCTGCCCCACCGTGATGTACCTCTCTGCTAGCTGCCCTGGGCACCCAAAACATATGCGGGGGAGGCTTACCTGACCACTCTTTTGTAGCTTCTCTTTGTTTCCCTGTCACAAAGTCATTTTTCTGTGGGGAAGCAAAGAAATCTCCAGGTGACATAAATTCTGCACATGTGCAGTGGTGCAGAATTCCCCCAGGAGTATATATTATTAGTATTTAAGACAGAGGGTCAGATCCTCAGCTGGTGTAAATCAGAGCATGGCCAATTAAAGTCAATGGGTATTGGGGTCACTCAGCACCTCACACTGTCCGGCCCTAATTCCACTTAGCTAATCTCAAAATCTGCTTTACTATTTTTATCACTGGAAAATTGTTGGCTCTGAAATTTGGCAGTTTTTGGGTTTGAGCTCAATTCATTTATAATGTACATGTAGTATTTTGTTTTATTCCTCCCATTTAGTTGTGCTATTTATTGTAAAGTAGCTCACAGATCTAGAACTCACCAACCTTAGGAGCATATATTGAATATGTTCTTAGGGAAAGAAGGGGCTGAATCTATAAGTACACTCCTAAATGCATTTTCTATTCTACACCCAAAGTCCATGGAAAAAATAAAAACTCTTTGTAAGAAACACTAAGAAAAGGACAGGGGCCCCATTTTATCTGAGCTCTTAAATAAAATTGTTTAGAAGACTTACAAGAAAAAAACATTAAAAAATACAAGGATTGCTATTTAACAATATGAAATAAGGGAGTGTCAAGCCCTTCACAAGCAATGGAAGTCAAAGGAATAATCAAGTGATCAGTTATTGTACCTGAAACAGTTAAACATTAACTCTCATAGAGTGTAACAAGCTCTTTATGGTGAATAAAGGAAAGCCACCTAGACCAGTGATATGCTGTTCCAGTTTTTCATGAAACAATTCCTCCAGGACAAGGAACATAATCACCGAGGCGGAGAATGAGGTCTGAGATAAGCAATCTGGAGTTTATAACATAATTCACACTGTTGGCTCCAGTTTTAGAGCCTAAAGGCTGGAGCTCCATGAGCAGGGTGGGCTGGAACTCCCCTCTCCCTTCATTAGTGAGGAACAAGACAGGCTCAGGGAACTTTCCAACTAGCCTCTCTTTGAGATTCCAGGAAGTAAGTTTACTGGGAAATGTGGTCTCTCCTGACAGCCATATTTGTATTTGTAGACTGTAGCAATGTCTGCTGGGAAATAGATGTGAGAATTAAAATATTACCTATGTTACTAAAGGCTGCTGGGTACAGTTTAGGGAAGAGATTAGCAAACACACACTGAATTCATATTTGGAAAGTCTAGATACTGACTGACATAAGGCAAAGATTTCAGAAAGGGATGCCTAAAATTAGGCTCCCAGAGCCACATTTAGGCATCTGAAGAAGTGACCTGATTTTCAAATGTGTTGAGCACCCAGTGGCTCCCATTGACTTCAGGAGCCTAAATGTGGATTTAGGAGCCTAATTTTAGACACCCATTTCTGAAAATCTTGGCTTAGAGGAGATTTAATTTAGACAGATGCTACAGTGGCCATCTGTAAGATGTAGCTCTGCATCCTATGGGAGAAGCACAAGAGCAAAGCCCTCTCAGGTAAAACACTCATTATATTATTACTTTCTGTCTCTCATTTCATTTACTTATAATCAGTCTGTGCATAAAGATAGCATAAAGTACTTTGATATGGCGTTTAAAAAAATCTTGACCTCCTTGAATGCTTAGATTTCTTGTTTATCACACATCCAACATCCAGTTCATAAAATTACATTACAAATCAAAGTGCTGAACTACATTAATAAGAAATGTAATAATTACAGTCAAATGAGATCATCATCTTATCTGTGCTCAGCATTTTCCTAGTTACCTTTTACAAAATGTTGGGAAAGCTAAAAATAAAAAGTGGTGTATTAGGGTAAAGCAGTATTTTCTCTTAAATACACTCTGTCTAAATGCATTTGGAAATTGCTTTTCACTAGCAGATACATGAAATCGTAATGAATTTGACATCTATATCTGACGGGTTTCATTTCCCTTTCTAGATAGTGCTAAACTTTCCCTACCAGAGATGGCCATTATTCTGGGTCCCTTAAAATATGTCTGAAAACCAAAATGCACTAAGGGGGCCTCAAATGGCATGTACTGTAGTTTCAAAATATGTTGCCCAGATCAAGAACACAATGTATTTTGCTCTGTAAATTATATAGAGCAAACACCATGGATGGCTGTCTTGCAGGCAAATGATTCTATACTTTTCCTAAATGTTGCACTGTATTGCACATATATCAAATATAAAATCATGGATTTTTATGGCATAATTAAAATAAATATAGAATTACTTTGTTACATAGGACATGAATCAGAGAGATATTTAAAATATCAGATTTTAAACTGTGTTTGTTTTTAAGGTTCCCAAATAATGTGATGGTTTACAGAGTCTGTATAGCTGCCCACTAGAATAAGTTTCATTGTAAATGTTCCTATTTGATTTAGGTTTAAAAAACCAAAAAAATCAATGCTCTGCCTTAGACTACAGCATGCACAATAAATGATCTCTTAATTACCACAGTGATGGAAACCTAGAGTTCTGAATCATCATTTTGACTTTCTCAAAGGAATAAAAGAACCCTGCTGCAGGCTAAAACTTCCATCCAATCACGCAAAGACAAATCAGCCTTCCGGCAAATCAGGAATCTTGATTTAAGCTTACCTGGACTTGGCTGTTTGCCCACATTTTAAAATACCTTTTAAAAATCACCCAAAAAGCCATATAAGTGTCTCTGTATTAAAATGTATTTTGCATGGGGTAATTGCTATGAAAGGGTAAAATTATTTGATTCAAAAATTAACCCTGAATGTAATTTTCTTTGAAAAAATAGAAAGGTTAGCTCACAGGGTGTAGTATTCAAATACCTAACTTGTGGGTGGAGTTGAGGTGTGCCAAGGTGCATAAATAGGTATTACTGAAACTTTGCAGTTCAGACTGAAACTTGGAACACTTGCCCAGCTCCTCTGACAAGCGGGAGGATAAACTAGGTAAGGCTATGAGCTCTTGCTTAGAAATGCACCTGTTAGAATCCAGTGAGCTTTGGACTCAAGTTACTTATTACTGTAGCAGGTGAGAAATGGAAAGGGAAGAATGAGGCAACTTAAAGTATATAGCTTGCCATAAAGGGGACAGGTGGAATAATACTGTCTCTTCAATTAAAAGAACCAGAAACTTTATTTTCCCCTTGGAGCTTACCATGGCAATATCTAGCTTTGTACAGATGATGCTTTAAGGAGTAGGTTTAATGCTGGTTGGTCATTGCTTTCAATTCTGTATCAGCCAGCAGGCTGAGATTTGTTTGCTCTTTGATTTCCTGTTTGACCAGTCCCCCCCCCCCTTTTTTTTTTAAAGCAATATTTCCTACATAATGATCTAACTAAACTGTCTCTGGAATCTGCTCTGAATCTCCACTGGGCTTCCTAATGAAGATTTACTAGATTTCCTCCCCTCTAAGGAGACTTTTTTCCCCTCTAATCTAAACATCAACCTATTTCCAAAAAAACATTTCTTGTTGCTTTTTCTATGCTGTTGAAGCCATGACTGAGCAGAGAGCCAGAGTCTATTGGGCATTAGAGCAGCAAAGGGTGATTTACCAGGCATTCTAACTCCTCTTAACAAGCCCCCCTCATGGGCTTTTCCCCCAAAGCCCTGGAAAGGCAGCCTCACCATGCTTTCACTTTTGCAGCCTGCATTTAAAATATACCTGCTGAAGCTCATGCATCCATTTTGATTTTCCTATGTATGATCTGGAATACCTATCTGTTTATCTTAAGTTTTCTGTAGTACACCTCCCCATGCTATCCTAGCACTCAGATGAGAATTTACAAATTTGAATCTCACAGAGTAAGAGTACTAAGTCTTGGTAGGATTATTTAAAAGATCAAGGAACTTTTGATCAAATTTTCCAGGCTCCATCCTCACTCCCTGAGTCAGGCTCAGGAAGAGATTTCAGTAGTAAAGCATCCTTTAAACTGATACATTGCATTTTGAAAGAAATCCTCTGTTCTAATCTGTGTTCAAACCCTGGCTCTGCCACTCTGAGATCCCTGAGGTAAGTAACTTTGCCCCTCTGTACCTCAGTTTCTCTGTCTGAGAAATGAAGTAAACCCTTCTAAACTGACCTCCCTCACAAGGATGTTGGGAGATACCTTGTCTCTCTCATTTATAAAACATTCATTACCACAGTAATTAGGTAAGTGAAGTGATATCTTTTATTGGATCAACTTCTGTTATAAATGTTTTATAATATCTAAGACACTTCTTCATATTTGCAAGTGCCTTTAGACCATTAAATAATGGTACTATAGAAGTTATCTAATTGTTGAATCTCATTTGTCTTATTAAGTGAATTCAATGTATGTAAAGCCACCATCAAGAAAAACAGAAAGAACTAGCATCAGAGAGAGTATCTAGGATGACTGCATTGAGATGGGACGGGCATATTTTAAAGTGGCCGCAAGTAACTTTGAAAGATTTTGGGAGATGATAGATTGATTTATTAATAATTTGTTTGCTAAAGAAACTTTACTACTTATTCATTACATCCTTGAACATGCAAACTAGCAAGAGTGGTTAATTCTAGCAGTGACTCAGCCCAGCTTCATATTTGTTACTTAGCCATTTATACACTGAAGTCTCATGTACTGTATGATCCTGCTGAGCAATTTCCTGGTTGGCATTCTGAGAAACTGCCAGAATTCTAAGGGTTTGTTGTCTTTTCAGCACTAGCCATGGAGAAGAGTTGTATATCTGTGTTCCTGCTGCTTGTTGCTGTCTCTTATGCTCTGGCTAAGAACGATGGCAAAAGGGATACAAAAGAAGTAAAAGAGACCAAACCAAAACTGCCTCAAACTCTCTCCAGAGGTAAAAACTTGGTTCATTCTCCCAATCCTAGCTCCATGAAAGTCTCTCACCCCTCAATCTGCTACCGTTAAATCCTATTACATTTTTAAATAGCTGTCTGGCCTGCAGTCCCTCTCCTTTCACCTGCCTATATATTCACAAATATTTTTTTCTCTGGCCTCTAAATATACCCCCCCGCCCAGTACTTTTTCCCCCAGAAGAGATTTTATCTTCATTCAATTACAATACCCTTTTTGGCAGCATATTCTCTCAAAGTACTTCTTAGTATCCTTTACTTCATATTTCAAGCCTAGATATAATCTTCTCATCGCTAACAACTTTTTAAAGGTAATTGTATGTCATTTTTCTTTAGGGTGGGGTGATAATCTTATCTGGACTCAGACCTATGAAGAAGCGTTGTTCAGAGCCAAGACCGGGTAAAACAACATTTTTTTCTATCCTGGCCACAGGTTTCAGTGGCGCCATCTAGTGTTATCTGATTTACCCGATGCCTTTGGCATTAGGGAAAGAACTCTGACAACCGTTAGAAATCTGTGCTTTCGTTAATTGTCCTTTACAGTCTGAGATGATCTCCCTCATCAGCAGTGGCTTTAAGGTTGTCAATAAGGAAAGTCTAAAATGAGGTGTCTTCTTCCATTTCAGCAACAAGCCCCTGATGATTATCCACCATTTAGAGGACTGCCCACACAGTCAAGGTAACATAGCTTTGAACATAAAGTCATCTTATTTTCTACCTTATGAACTCAAATACTGCTAAAATACAACCGTGCTCTCTAATTCAGTGGCATACTCCACTCACTTCAGTAGAGTTCTCTGTGGGCATTAAGGTCCATCTGAAGGATCAGGACCTGACACACAAACTAGACTTGTCTGAGTTGGACTGAAAGGCAGAACTAAAATAATGTGGTGGGTCTGGATAAAATTCAAATCCAAATCTCCCAGAAATTTGAAGGGGTTTGAATTTGGAGGAGGGAGGGGAACAGACTTATGCCATTTCTATTTGTTACTTCAGCTCTGTTCTAGATATCGCGCACCCACAGGCTTAAAACTCTCCATTTTAATTCTTTCAGTTGGACATGCTAAAATCTCCTAACTTTGGAGAGTCCACAAATCATATCAGAATCTTTTCCTATATCATTTCTTGGCAAATGTGTGTGATTTCCCCTCTTTCCCCAAGTTTGTATTTTATTTATTATTTGTAACAATTGTTTGACATTTATTAATTGTAGCACTGAAGAAAGTATTTGCTGAACACAAAGAAATACAGAAATTGGCTGAAAAGTTTGTTCTTCTGAATCTTGTTGTAAGTTCTCCAGTTACATTTTATCAAAACTTAAAATTTTAACTAGCTCTACTCATGACAGTGGTTGGAAGCAGTAAACATATATCATTAATTATGGCTTCTTTGACTAAGGCAAATATTGTGCATCAGTTTAACCAGATATGACTAGAACTGTCTGGTGCTACAACAGGGCTAGATTTAACAATAAATACAGTATATTCTATAGCTATTACAAGAAGATATAAACTACAGTATAAGATTTATTTAAAATAAATAAAAACATTGTTAAATATGACATCTGCAGTTTTACCATGTTCTTTGGTTAGTGTATTTCTCAAACTTTAAAGCTTCAAAGTACACGTTAAGTTTGATAGCCAAGAAATTATCAAGTAGAAAGAAAATGTTCTGTTTGTGTTTTTTATACAACATGATCTGCAGCAATCTTGACTTAGAACCTTATCACTTTTGTTCCAGTATGAAACAACTGACAAACATCTTTCACCTGATGGCCAGTATGTCCCTAGAGTTCTGTTTATAGGTGAGTACTGTTGGTTTTAATGACACAGCCTCCAAGGATGATATCCATTTTGAAGCTATAGAGGCTGGGTCTCCCAGCATGATACAAACAAGGAACGCTCTGCATTGTTAACAGGGGTTAATACCAAGAGAAGAATAGAATCTTTCATTTTGTTTTGCTGGAATGAATGTGACAAAACAAAACTGGAATTAGGCAGCAGTGTGTGAGTCTTATTTGGGCGGGGGGAAGGCTTATGTAGTAATAAATATATTTTAATAATAATCTCCCTCCCTAACCTCAAAAGGGCCTTTGCCGGTTCTGGGATGGGCTTGCACGTGGATCATGTTGAGACAGTTTATTTCTTTCTGTTGACCAAAGTAAGGGGGCTAAAGGACCATGTGTCTCTTCATAACTATTAATATTTGTAACAATGCACATCAGGGTAATTCAAGTATCATGTAATGAAGTGGGATGTAAATTGGGCAACTGCACTATTCAGAACTGAATTTCCCTGATCGTGTTTCAGAAACACTGGGGTTTTATTCACGTCATTTAGAAAACATGAAGTATCAGCTATTGGAACAACATACTCCATCTTCCTATATGTACATATGCAGCAAGTAAAGGTATAGACTTTTTAAGAACATAAGAACGGCCATACTGGGTCAGATCAATGGTCCATTTAGCCCAGTATCCTGTCATCCAACAGTGGCTGGTGCCAGATGCTTCAAAGGGAATGAACAGAACAGGGTAATTTAGCAAATTATCCATCCTCTGTCATCCTGTCCCAGCTTCTAGCAGTCAGAGGTTCAGAGACATCCAGAGCATGGGGATGCATCCCTGACCATCTTGGCTAATAGCCATGAACTTCTCTAATTCTTGTTTGAACCCCGTTATACTTTTGACCTTCACAACACCCCCTGGCAAAAAGTTCCACAGGTTAACTATGTATTGTGTGAAGAAGTACTTCCTTATGTATGTTTTAATTGCTGCTGCCTATTAATTTAATTGGGTGCCCCTGGTTCTTGTGTTATGTGAAGGAGTAAATAACACTTCCTTATTCACTTTCTCCACACCATTCATGATTTTATAGACCTCTATCATATCCCTCCTTAGTCATCTCTTTTCTAAGGTGAAGAGTCCATCTTTGTAATCTCTTCTCAGATGGAAGTTTTTTTTCCATACCCCTAATCATTTTTGTTGCCCTTCTCTGTACTTTTTTTTTTCCAATTCTAATACATATACTTTTGCAATGGGGGACCAAAACTGTACACAGTATTCGAGGTGTGAGCGTACCATGGATTTATACAGAGGATATTCTCTGTCCTTCCAATCTACCCCTTTCCTAATAGTGCCTACATTGTTAACTCTTTTGATTTGCCACTGCACATTAAGCAGATGTTTCCACAGAACTATCCATGATGACACCAAGATCTTTCTTGAGTGGTAACACTAATTTAGACCCCCATCAATTTCTATATATAGTTGTTTGTTTTCCAATGAGCATTACTTTGCACTTATTGAATTTCTTGTGCCATTTTGTTGCCCAGTCACCCAATTTTTATGAGATCCCTTTGTAATTCTTAATAGCAAGCTCTGGACGCCATCTTAAGAAATTTTGTATCATCGGCAAACTTTGCCACCTCACTATTTAACCCTTTTTCCAGGTCACTTATGAATACATTGAACATTACAGGTCCCAGGACAGATCCTTGAGGGACCCCACTATTTACCTCTTTCCACTGTGAAAACTGATAATTTATTCCTATATTTTATCCAGTTACTGATCCATGAGAGGACCTTCCCTCTTATCCCATGGATGCCTACTTTACTTAAGAGCCTTTGGTGAAGGACCTTGTTAAAGGCTTTCTGAAAGTCCAAGTACACTATATCCACTGGATCACCCTTGTCCACATGTTTGAACCTCCCCTCAAAGAATTCTAATAGATTGGTGGGGCATGATTTCCCTTTACAAAAGTCATAGAAGATTAGAGTTGGAAGAGACCTCAGGAGGTCATCTAGTCCAACCCCCTGCTCAAAGCAGGACCAACACCAACTAAATCATCCCCAACATACTGATACTTCTGTTCTTTACTATAGTTTCAATCAATTTGCCTGGTACAAGCCAGTAAGTTTAACTTTAGTAATTGAATGGATCACCTCTGGAACTGTGTTCGTTTTGTTTTTTGAATTGACACTGCATTAGCTATGTGCCAATCAACTGGTGCAGAGGCTGATTTAAATGATTGCAAAACTACTACCTGTGGTATGTAATCTTTGTCATATTTGAGTTCCTTCAGAATTCTTGGGTGAATACCATCTGGTCCTAATGACATTACTGTTCAACTTATCAATTTGTTCCAAAAGCTCCTCTATAGAGACCTCAAGCTGGGTCAGTTCCTCAGCTCTGTCACCTAAAAAGAATGGCTCTAGTGTAAAAATCTCCCTCAGATCCTCTGTAGTGAAGTCCAATGCAAAGTATTCATTTAGCTTCTCTGCAATGGCCTTATCGTCTTTGAGTGCTCTGTTAGCACCTCAATAGTGCAGTGGCTCCACTGATTTGGCAGACTTCCTACTTCTGATGTACTCAAAAAAGAAAACAAAATTTGCTGTTTAGTTTTTGTCTTTTCTTGTTGCTCTTCAAATTCTTTTTTGACCTGCTTAGCTATACTTTGTATATATTAATATTGTAGACTATTTAAAATTAATTTCTTCCACTGCTTTTCCTTTCCTCTTTCCAGATCCCTCCCTGACAGTTAGAGCAGATATTACTGGAAGATACTCAAACCGTCTCTATGCATATGAGCCTTCAGATATTTCATTGTGTAAGTATATTTTCCAACAGAAGCTTGCACATACATTTAGAACAGATGAATGTCTTCTCAAAGAGCAGTGAAAAATGCTGGACCTGTTTTACTTAATATTGGTTGAAACATGATTTAATAGCCAGACCTAATTACATTCTTCATGACCTCTTGCTTATTTAGAGTCCAACTCTGACACCCTCACACTCAGCTGTGCCTTACTGTATGAGTAATTGCAAGGGAAATCTATAGGATCGTTTACAGTATAAAGGTGCCAGAATCAGGCTCATAAAAACTACAGCTCATTTTTTGATAGTTCATATATAAAATGGGTTAAGACAGCAGCTTTAACAAGAAATTAAATATAAAGGGACATTAAAATTATTTTCACATAATTGATCCTGAAAGACCAGCAGTATGGTTCTAGTGCATTAAAATTCCACCTGTTTGGAAGGAAGATAATGCATTTTTGTAAGAAGTTGCATAATTCATTGGCACTCACTTTGCATGATAGGTGGAACACTGGTGCTCTAAGAGCCTTTGGGGGGCCACAGGATAAGAATCCTATTAAAGTTAATGGGAGTTATTAGTATCTTGCAGCAGAAGAGGAACCCAGCATTTTAATGGAAATACACTGTGTGTGAGAGTGAGAGATCCCCTCACAGGTCAAGAGCAATTAAATTGTGTGGAATGACTGGACTCCCCCCACTCCTCTTTGGAAATCATATTAGTAGGGTAGCTTCTGCAGAAACTGTAATTTAAAACATGGTCAGGACTGTTTACAAGTCTTGGAAGAGACTGTAAAATGTATGATGGATGAAGAGTTAGTACAATAAGGGAGCTTGTGACAGCACTTTCTCTAAAGTAATTTGTCACTAGCCGTATAACTGCAGAAATGTAACAGTTCTTAATGTTTCATTTCTAGTGTATTCAAATATGCAGAAAGCTCTGAAACTGCTGAAGACTGAATTATAAGGCAGCGGAAAAGCCCATATGCAGCCAAGATGTCTGATCTTCCCGCTCTGCTCTACTCGCTGGCATCAGTGAAAACTTTTGATTGATTTTAGAAATGCATAGCACTGGTTTATATGCATAACTAACTGTATGGTTTTTTGTTAACACTTTTGTACTGGATGGGATTTTAAGTACTGGTTGCTTTTTAAACAAAGCATACAGAACACTGTATGCTTCAACTGTAAACCATGATTTTTTAAGAAATAAATACATTATGTTGTCTTATTTTATGTGGCCTTACTCAATGTATTCAAATAGTCATCCAAACAAAACAAAAGAGAGGCTACTTTGTTATAAAAGGCTGCAAAAGAGGTTATAACTTCCCCACTGTAACATCCATATGCTAAAACAGATTATGACTTGAAAGCCAGGGAGGCTTCTTCATCTCTACAGTTTTAACAGCCATATAAGATTCTTATTCCTCAGGCTCCTGTTGAGTGTATTTCCTAGTTTAAACATTAATTTTCTTTAAAAGTTGGTGGTTGTTGTCAAGTGTATTGCAAGGATAGGGAAGAACAGCAGCAGCTCACAATACTGATTTGACCACCTCTCACAAATTCTAAGGAAGCTATTGTAAAATGTCTAAGATAGTAAGAGAAACACTTGCTTGATATTATTTGCAATAGCTTCATAGTAAATTTAATTAATACTAACCCAGAAGTTATTTCCAGATCTATTACTTAAAATGAAAAAATAGTATAAAATTATACTTGTTAATGCTGAACATGAAAATTATTTATCTGTCTTCAGAAATTTTATATTAACTCTTTTGGTATGTTTAGTAAGAGGAACACCAGTCTGACACCTGGGGCCTCTGTCAGTACAACTATGAATTCTAATTTTCATAGATTCTAGGACTGGAAGGGACCTCAAGAGGTCATCGAGTCCAGTCCCCTGCCCTCATGGCAGGACCAAATACTGTCTAGACCATCCCTGATAGACATTTATCTAACCTACTCTTAAATATCTCCAGAGAGGGAGATTCCACAACCTCCCTAGGCAGTTTATTCCAGTGTTTAACCACCCTGACCAGGGCCGGTTCTAGGTTTTTTGCTGCCCCAAGCAAAAAAATTTTTGGCTGCTTCCCCCCCCCAGCCCGGGGCGCTCTCTCTCCCTCCCACCTCCCAACTGCACCCTCCTGCAGCCCCAGCCCTGGGTCACTGGTAACTCACTCCCAGGGCGGGTCATTCAGCAGGAATTTTGGATGTGCACAGAACACAGACAGGATTGGTTCCCATATGGTTACAGAACTGCAGTAAAGTGGAACAATTTTCAGCTTGTGTGATTGAAGGATATCTGGATGCATATTATAAGACTGTCCTACATAAATGAGGAAAAGTTGAGGTGCCTTTATTATTCTTTTGTTCCATTCTTTGTTTCTGTGGGGAATTTGCCAATGCAATATCACTGTCTTCCTTTTAAACAAATAAAACTAAAACTAAAAAAAAACCAAACCAACAATGGCTGTTGAAAATAGCAATTCCAGTCCTAATAACCACTGGGAAGCATTTCTTGCTCAATTTATTCTACTTTTTCTACAGCAAGTTACAGTGGATCAGTATATTTGATTTGGGAGAAATGAAGTAACAGCTGCCCAAATCGAGCTTGAGCACTCCTGAATTTTGAGGATGTTCAAATCTGGAAGGCAGGTGCTAGATTCCCTTTCTGAATATTAGCTAAATCTGGAAAAGAAAAATCAATTTCTGCTTCCATGGCTCAGAAGCGTAAATCCTCCTACGTGCCTGGTACTGTATCTAAAGCTGCCCAGGTCCTAGTAGAGCCTCCCCTCCCTTACTTTTCATTTTAAATTCGAGTGGGATCCACGTACCTCCCTTGCTAGGCTTCAGATAGAGAGGTGCACTGTCCATTTAGTCCACCCAATTCTTTATTTGGGGGAGAGCCCAGGGCTGGGGCGGCAGGAGGTGCAGGTGGGGCCAGAGCTGGGGCAGCAGGGGGTGCGGGTGTGTGTGCGGGGGAGAAGAGCCCAGGACTGGGGTGGCAGGAGATGTGGGTGGGGGGAGAGCCCAGGGCTGGGGCAGAAGGGGGGTGCAGGTGGGGGCCAGAGCTGGGGCAGCAGGAGGTGTGGGCAGGGGAGAGTCCAGGGCTGGGGCAACACCAGGGTGCGGGGGGAGCCCAGCACTGGGGTGGGGGGCAGCAAAAAACCTAGAGCTGGCTCTGTCCCTACCATTCACAACAAGCTGCAGCATGAGGTTTCAGTTCCACACTCCTTCCCCCTCCCTTTCCTGTTAATTGGGGTCAAGGGAATGCTGGGAAATGTAGTTCTTTCCCTGCTCCAGGGCCAGCTCTATAGGCAGGGAGCTAATCAAGGAACTACAGCTCCCAGGGCCCCCTGTTGGTTCTCAGCTCCCATGTTGGATTCTTGCGCCCCTGCAAATTTGCCACCCCAAGCAACTGCTTGCTTTGCTGGTGCCTAGAGCCGACCCTGACCCTGACAGTTAGGAACTTTTTCCTAATGTCCAACCTAAACCTCCCTTGCTGCAGTTTAAGCGCATTGCTTCTTGTTCTATCCTTAGAGGCTAAGGTGAACACATTTTCTCCCTCCTCCTTATGACACCCTTTTAGGTACCTGAAAACTGCTATCGTGTCCCCTCTCAGTCTTCTCTTTTCCAAACTAAACAAACCCAATTCTTTCAGCCTTCCTTCATAGGTCATGTTCTCAAGACCTTTAATCATTCTTGTTGCTCTTCTCTGGACTCTCTCCAATTTCTCCACATCTTTCTTGAAATGCAGTGCCCAGAACTGGACACAATACTCCAGTTGAGGCCTAACCAGCACAGAGTAGAGCGGAAGAATGACTTCTCGTGTCTTGCTCACAACACACCTGTTAATACATCCCAGAATCATGTTTGCTTTTTTTGCAACAGCATCACACTGTTGACTCATATTTAGCTTGTGGTCAACTATAACCCCTAGATCCCTTTCTGCTGTACTCCTTCCTAGACAGTCTCTTCCCGTTCTGTATGTGTGAACCTGATTTGTTATGAAAATTCTTGTTTCATGGAACCCCTGTATGTATCCATCATTGCTGACAAGAATTCAAGTGTATATCTCCCAGACTAGGTACAAGGGGGGGACATGTTAACGTTAACGACTGCTCTTTGACCAAACAATAAGTATGCTGAGGGTATTGTTGGAGCTGGGAGATGCCATCTCCTTCAGCTTTCCTGTAAGGGGCTGGCAGGTGGGGAATGGAAAATTACCAGCAGGAGAACAAAAGAAGCAGGTGCTGTTGGAGGAGCATATACAGCTCAAGGGATTCACCGGGACAGAAAACTTTGGGTAGGAGAGAGGAAGGGCACTGACCAGCCAAAGTCCAAGAAGGCTCCATGTTTCAGAAGATAAGTCATGCACTGTAGCAAACTGACCCTGAATAGCCCCAGAGGTCTCTGATTCTAGCCCAAAAAATGTACTGGAATATTGAGGAAACCAAGGCAGGGAAAAGTATGCATTTCTCATGCAATTAAGTAAAGCGCAATGGTGGTTTCAAATACTATGCAAAGTCTGTGTTGCTACACCTCTCATGCCTTTGAAGATGTTAAGTTGAGGACCCACCACACACAGAGTTCTGGGAGAATGTGTGGTTAAGCTACAGGGGAGGAAGACTGAGGGGTCAGTACTGGACAAAGGGACTAGATACTTGGACTGCAAGGTCTCAGGAGGTAGTTCTAGATAGGTATCTGCACTGGAGCGAGAGCCAAGAACTACCAAGATGGGCAGTGTGTGGACTCAGTCAGAATATAGAAAGCATAAAGCACATGGAATCCAATTGTTAAATTTCCTCACAGCAGTCTGGTGATTGGCCTGTGGGGGCATGCCCCTGGAGCTGTGACACCCCCTACACAAGCCCCTGAAAGCAAAATATTCAGTGACAGTACCCTAGTCCCACACGTCTGACATGGGCAGTAGCACAGTATCTACCATATTACTCTTGACTCTACAAGAGAAAACCTTAACTCCCACCTCAGCAACACAAAGCAATTGTGCACCAGTGAGCTGTATGATACATTTTCATAGAGGAAGTGTGAGTGATGACTTTGTACACATTGGAGGTGTCTGGAATTTTAGTTAAAGGGGAAGCAGAGATGAGTAACTGATATGAGCAGGTGGAGCCATGTTAAGATGATTCTAGAGCTGGCCAGTTTTTGTTTAGGGGAACACAAACTCCCACACCCCCTTAAAGCAACCATAACAGGTGACATTGTAAACAAGAAGCCAGCAGCATTATCTCCTGCATCTGTAAACAAACTTATTTGTCTTAGCAATTGGCTGAACAAGATGTAGGACTGAGTGGACTTGTAGCCTAGGCTCTAAAGTTCTACACTGTTTTATTTTTGAATGCAGTTTTTTTGGTAAATTCTACATTTGTAAGTTCAACTTTCATGATAAAGAGATTGCACTACAGTATTTGAATTAGGTGAATTGAAATACTATTTCTCTTGGTTTTTACAGTGCAACTATTTCTCTTGTTTTTTACAGTGCAACTATTTGTAATCAAAAATAAACAAAGTGAGCACTGTACACTTTGTATTCTGTGTAACTGAAATCAATATATTTGAAAATGTAGAAAACATCCAAAAATATTTAAGTAAATGGTATTCTATTGTTTAACAGCACAATCATAATATTTTTAATAGCCCTAGTTTTCAGACTTTCCTCCACACCCACCAGAGATAGAAACTTTTTTTATATAATGAAGAGATTCTCTTGTAATTACAGGAGCTTCAATAAAAAAAACCCCCACAAAAAATAAACCACCACCAAATATTGCAAGTCTTGTGATAAAGTCTCGTGATTTGACAAATTGCTAGTCTCTCAGGAAACCTTCATTACATGGTTTCAGTCACCACCGTTATGGAAGAATACAACCAAGAGCAAGCAACATTACTTAAAGCACTACCATGAAGAAAGAATTGTAAAAAACAATCACAAATGGGAGCAACCACAGAATTTTATTATAACCTTCACATTCCCAGCATTCCTCTTATTTATTACTAGTTATGTTCTCTCTAAAATATGGAGTCTGGCTACATAAGGAAATTAACCTGTTGCTGAAAAACAGCCATCAGCTGACTCCCCTCTGAAATGGAATTAAAATGGTTGTGCTACTGCTGTAGCTAAGCCAAAAACAGTTTAGTACCAGCTGAAAGAGGGCTTTGCTGCCAACCATTTTCCTAATGTAAACTGACCCTTAGATTGTAAGCACTTCTTGACAGTATCTTATTAACTTATAATGCTGCTTTTGCATAATAGGACTCCCAAAGCCACTTGTTTCCACCTTCTGTCAGGGTGCCAATGCCTGAGTGAGAAACAACTGTTTCCACCTTGTTACTGGAGTGCTTTATAAAAAGAGAGGTTTGCCTTTAAGTATGCACATGCATCCCCCCCCCCCCCCCCCCCCCCCCACACACACACCTGACCTAATAGATAAAATGTCAGACAGCACTCAAGTATATGTAGCCACAGTGCTGGGTTCTGTAGAATGAATAAAAAAAAAAAAATAAAAAAAAACCACCACTTGTATAGTGCAAATAACTTCTTCTCTGCAGCTCTGTGCATGAAGTTCTTAATGCTTCTCCCTTCTGTCCCATCTCAAATCTCCCCCTAGATATCCTTATGCAATCTCAGTTTAGAAAAAAAACTGAGCATACAGATGCCTATATAGAATAGAATATCAGGGTTGGAAGGGACCTCAGGAGGTCATCTAGTCCAACCCCCTGCTCAAAGCAGGACCAATTCCCAACTAAATCATCCCAGCCAGGGCTTTGTCAAGCCGGGCCTTAAAAACCTCCAAGGAAGGAGACTCCACCACCTCCCTAGGTAACGCATTCCAGTGCTTCACCACCCTCCTAGTGAAATAGTGTTTCCTAATATCCAACCTAGACCTCCCCCACTGCAACTTGAGACCATTGCTCCTTGTTCTGTCATCTGCCACCATTGAGAACAGCCGAGTTCCATCCTCTTTGGAACCCCCCTTCAGGTAGTTGTAGGCTGCTATCAAATCCCCCCTCATTCTTCTCTTCTGGAGACTAAACAATCCCAGTTCCCTCAGCCTCTCCTCATAAGTCATGCACTCCAGACCCCTAATCATTTTTGTTGCCCTCCGCTGGACTCTTTCCAATTTTTCCACATCCTTCTTGTAGTGTGGGGCCCAAAACTGGACACAGTACTCCAGATGAGGCCTCACCAATGTCGAATAAAGGGGAACGATCACGTCCCTCGATCTGCTGGCAATGCCCCTACTTATACAGCCCAAAATGCCGTTAGCCTTCTTGGCAACAAGAGCACACTGTTGACTCATATCCAGCTTCTCATCCACTGTGACCCCTAGGTCCTTTTCTGCAGAACTGCTACCTAGCCATTCGGTCCCTAGTCTGTAGATGTGCATGGGATTCTTCCGTCCTAAGTGCAGGACTCTGCACTTGTCCTTGTTGAACCTCATCAGGTTTCTTTTGGCCCAATCCTCTAATTTGTCTAGGTCCCTCTGTATCCGATCCCTACCCTCTAGTGTATCTACCACGCCTCCTAGTTTAGTGTCATCGGCAAACTTGCTGAGAGTGCAGTCCACTCCATCCTCCAGATCATTAATAAAGATATTAAACAAAACCGGCCCCAGGACCGACCCTTGGGGCACTCCGTATGGGTCTCATCACCTCTGTACCTGAGCACCTGCTTACTATACTAAGTTCAGTTATCTCCTATTCAGTGAAGGCCCTTCAAAATCCCACCCCAACCTACATTATAGCTGTTTCCTCATACTCTCCAACCTGTGCTGCCTGTGCTCTTCTGTAGCTGCTCTCCTAAATATTGTTTTGGGGCATCTTCCCAGTTTTTCATGTTGAGTGTCATACAAGGAGAAGAGGAGGAATTTCAGCCAAGAGGGGCAGCTCTATTGAAATCCTTCATTGAAGACATGACAACATTTAATCATAATTCAGAGAAGAGTGCATGCTAAAAAACACATCATGCACCTCAAAGATTAGGTCTTCTGATCAGTTGTCTATAATGTGTAGTCTATTTTAGCATATGAACAACTTGGTCAAGGACAGTGATTTCTCCTGAAGTTTTAGAGAGCATTCATGTACAAGCACTATTTTATTATTATTATTTTTAAGCTACCAAAAATGCCACAATGATATTTTTACAATTACATTTCAAATCAAGTATTTTAAATAGATACTGACATTCATTGTCAAACCTGACCCACCTTCATCCTTCAGTATCACACTTTTATGAGTTATTACAACAATGAATTTAAACTACCTGTAAAAATAGTTTTATAAGAAATCTTTGGACATCAAATCAAAATTTGTTACACTAACAAAATGGATCAATACCAGTTCTGATATTGTCTTAGTTCCAGGTTCATTCACCTATCAAGAAAGTTTTTCTTTTTTAAAAGTACTTTTAAAATTAGTATCAATAGGTTAATTTTCATAGTTTTCTTCATTCATTATTATTCTCAATTGCTTAGATACAAAGATGAAAAAAATGTTTTTATTCTCTTTATATGCAATTCTAAAGATGTCAAAACTAAAGCCTACAGAAGTCAGTTAACATATGTTTATATCCATGATCTAAAATGGTATCTTCAATTTATCTAAAGAAAAGAAACAAAATAAAGGGTTGATAAGTTTTAATATTTCAGATGTTCTCTATATTATTTTTTAACCCAAACACAGCAGAATGGGAATTGATTCAACAGAAAAACAAATTTACTGTATTTCACCCTACCGGCATTCAACATACAGATGCATCATTTTAATGAAAAAGTATGTGTTTTTTTGTAAAACAACAACAAAAACCACACAAGAAAGTGGTCAGAATATATGTCGGTTGTATTTTTTGTTGTTGTTTGGTTGGGGTTTAAAAAAATAAATAAATAAAAAAAAACCTAAGAAAGGCAATAAAACTAACTTGCAACAGTATGCTTCAGCAATTGTTGTGATCTAACAGTTATTTAACCATCTCCGAACTGTTCAGATTCTGTTCAGCTACAGAATAGATATATCTATTTCCAGATAGAGAACGCAGAAGTGAAGATGGGAAACCAAAGATGACAAGCACAAACATCTCCATGTAGGAAAATCATTTTCTTTCAGATCCTTAGCGTGCAGAAGTGCCAATTGCTAGAGAATTCATATTTTAACTGGAAAAAGATTCAGTCCTTGAGAAATTTTCCAATCAAAGAAATGCACTAGGGTTTGCACGAGAATCTTTTTGGTTCCTGTATCTATAAGTCAGCCAAACTCCCAAAATCTGCAAAAGAAGAAGACAGACACTTAGCAGTGCTTTTATCTCTGGTTTAAAAGAACAGAATATTTTCCATAGTGTCATGATGCATAAAATTTCCAAATGCAAGTTCAGGACATGCTTGCACTGGCACTTAAATCACAAGAAAACCCCACAAGTCCCTTTGTTACTAGTGGGAGGATGTATCCAGTGACAGAATTCTTTCTAGCAACAAGGAGAAAAACCTGCATATACAATGCGTGTGGTGTTGGCACATACTTCCCTCTGACCACACCAATATCTACAATTATTGCTTACCCATTTACCTACAGTATTAACAATGTAACCTGAAAGGTATGGCTACCATATGCACTAAAGATTAGAGACCAGTGTTGAATATCTACAAACCTGCCTCTTGGCAGTTTCTGTTCACTATCCACTCTGCTTGAGTTGCTAGTCAGAAAAGTCAAACGATGTTGAATAATAGTGTTAGAGATTTATGTAGTAAACTCCTAATACACCGGACTTTTTTTGGAAACAATTACGCTCAAGTGCACTCACCTCAGTGAAACTGAAGAAGAGTCCTATGCCACCTACAAATCTCAGTACCATTCCTGAATATTCTTCTATTATAGATGCACATGTTGAACAGTCGTTATCTTTAACACAAGCCTGTAACAGAAGAAATTACAGCTTTTACATTGTGCTACATTTTTTAATAAACATGTGAAGCTAGCCAGAGGCACCTAGTCTTTAGATGGCTTAGTTTTGCCCAAGATTGGCATTTTTAATAAATTGGACTGTAAATAATACTTGACTCCTATGTCTTGCTTTTTAATCAGAAGATCTCAAAGTGCTTGAGTACCAAAGAGGTAAGTACCATAAAATGAACTGATACAATTTCTGTCTTGTGTATTTGATAATGATTTTTCAAACTATACAGTATTCCTGTAAATGTGATGATGTACTTAAGCTGCTAAGCAATGGCAATATGGTTGCACACTTCTCTAGAAAAAAATGAGTGAAAGTAACAAAAGTTATAACTCAGTAATCTACTTACAGCAGAGCAGGTTTCACTTGAATTGAAGTTTCTGAAACCACAACAGTTTAGATTCCTCTCAATATCTTCTCTAGCACTCTTTGTGTTGTTCCATCCAACCTCTAGAAGTTGGCGCTACAAGTTAACACATGCATCTTTTAATAAATGCTACCCTTGTTTTTTGTATTTCATTGGTGTCCACGTGATACCCACAGACACAGCCCCCACCCTGATATATTTACAGTCTAAAACAAGCAATATACAAATGTCATGAATGTTATGTACAAATAGCCCAAATAGCTAAAGCAAGAAAAATATCCAGTATATAAGGTTCACAGTCCTAATGGATTATCTCCACTCTTTTTCAGATCTTCAGTTGTATCACCAGCTAAGTGGCAAGGTGAATTTTAATAGGCAGCAGGTTTAAAACAAACAAAAGGAAGTATTTTTTCACACAACACACAGTCAACCTGTGGAATGTCTTGCCAGAGGATGTTGTGAAGGCCAAGATTATAACAGGGTTCAAAAAAGAACTAGATAAGTTTGTGGAGGATATGTCCATCAATGGCTATTAGCCAGGATGGGCAGGGATGGTGTCCCTAGCTGGGAATGGGAGACAGGGGATGGATCACTCGATGATTACCTGTTCTGTTCATTCCCTCTGAGGCACCTGGCATTGGCCACTGTCAGAAGACAGGATACTGGGCTAGATCTGGTTGGTCTGACCCAATGTGGCCGTTCTTATGTTCAGATCTCTCATTAACGAGATTTTAGTGAAACACTGGTTTTACTGTGACCAACACTGTGCGTGGCTGATAATCTAGTTGCCATGCCCTTATTCACTTCCTGCTGCTGATGGTTGATTGAATTGTGTCAGATACTAATGCTAAAGGTTAAGAGGCACTAACTGAAGATGCTCCATAAAATCCAACAGAATAAAATACAGTAAATTTAATGGGCAAGTTTGCTGGAGCTGGGACCTAGCACAGATACTCTTGTTCCTCCACAGCAGGAAGTTAGCCAGAAGCTGTAATAACCGCAGGAGCAAGTTGCTCAGTAGCATGGAGTTGGCTGGTGGCCCCAGGAAAGTTCCAGAAGACTGGAAGAAAGCTAATGTTTTGCCAATTTTTAAGGAGGCTAAACAGTATGACCAAGGTAATTAAAGGTATGTCAGCCTTACATCAATCCCAGGCAAGATAATGGAGTGGCTGATACAGGACTCTATTAATAAAGAACTAAAGGAAAGTAATAAAATTAATGCTAATCAACATGGGTTTCTGGCAAATAGATCCTGTCAAACTAACCTGATATCTGTTTTTGATATTACAAATTTGGATAAAGGTTATAGTGTTGATGTAATATACTTAGACGTGACATTTTGATTAACATAGCCTGTTTTTAATCCATTTCATAGGTGCTAACAGAGGTCTCAAAATATAACTGTGAAAAGGGAATCGTCAAGTGGGTTTGTTTCCAGTGGAGTCCTGCATGGATCCGTTCTTGACCCTACACTACTTAACAGTTTTATCAATGACCTGGAAGAAAAAACACAAAAATCATCACTGATAAAGTTTTCTGATGACACTAAAATTGGGGCAGTGGTAAATAAGGACAAGGATAGATTACTGATTCAGAGTGATCTAGATCACTTGGCAAACTGGGCACAAGCAAAAAATATCCATTTTAATATGGCTAAATGTAAATGTATATATCTGGGAACAAACAACGTAGGCCATACTTACAGGATGGGGGACTCTATCCTGGGAAAAAGTGACTCAAAGAGATTTGGGGGTTGTGGTAGAGAAGCTGAACATGAGCTCCCAGTATGATGCTGTGGCCAAAAGTGCTAATATAATCTTGTGATGCATAAATGGGGGAAACCTCAAATAGGTTATTTTACCTCTATATTTGGCACTGGTGTGACTGCTGCTGGAATACTGTGTCCAGTTCTGGTGCCCACAATTCAAGAAGGATGTTGATAAATTAGACAGGGTTCAGAGAAAAGCCACGAGAATGATTAAAGGATTAGAAAACATGCCTTATAGTGATTGAGCTTCTTGAGTCTATCTATTTAGTTTAACAAAGAGAAGGCTAAGGGGTGTCAATTCAGTCTATAAGTACCTACACGGAGAACAAATATTTAATAAAGGGCTCTTCAATCTAGCAGACAAAGGTATAACACAATCCAACAGCTGGAAGTTGAAGCTACACAAATTCAGACTAGAAATAAGGTACATTTTTAACAGTGTGAGTAATTAATCTTTGGAACAATTTACCAAGGGTTGTGGTGGATTCTCCATCACTGACAATTTTAAAATCATGATTGGATGTTTTTCTAAAAGAGATGCTCTAGGAATTATTTTGGGGAAGAAGTTTATGGCCTGCGCTATACAGGAGGTCAAACTAGAGGATCACAATGGTCCCTTCTGGCCTTCGAATCTATGAATTAAAGATGAAAAGATTTCAGAAAGGGTGAGCACAAAGGTGAGGAAAAGAACAAAGGGAGCACCTTTCCTACTTTCACCTCACACACAGCCATCAATCAAAGCCCTGCCACATACCCCCCTTTATCCCATGACAGCTGTCCCAGTTTTTTCCCCCCCACATTGAGAGGTGTGATCACTGTCATCAGTAGCTCCTGCACTAACTATGCTTGATAACATCTTATCCACTGTGTAAACCTCACTAGGTTACGAAGCTGGGCTATAGAAATGAAGTTGAATAAAGGAGGTAACCTTTAATAAATGGCACAGATTTGTGAAGTCTAACAGTTCAAGCAGGGTATAAACTTAAACAAACAAACAAACAAACAAACAAAGAGACTGGCTCTTAGAGGCAGACTGCGTGCCCAGGGGATGGGGCTGGTTCCATATGCCAGTGTACTACTAGAAAGTCATTAAGAAGGGGGTCACTTATCTGACTTTTGTGGATAGAGAAAGGAGATACACCTTAAATCAAATAGGGTTTGCATGCTTAATAGATTGGACTGAATATACCTATAATAGCCATAGTTTTTGGATTATTCATGTTATTATATGGAAATGTTTTTTTACACATATAAGTAATTCAGTGTTAGTCTCCTTTGCTGTTATCTTAAATTTAGATTCGTGCGTATTAGTTCAGCTTGCTTCAAGTTGCTGAACTTCATATCACATAACTGACATACTTGAGAACAGAAATGTAACCAGGAAGTCTAAAAGTAGTAGAGTCATAATATAAACTGCATAAATTTCCTCCTAGGAACCTGACACCGAGCATTGATTTTGCAGCAGTCCTTAGCTTAATAAAGCATGTGAAGGTGGTCCCCATCATCCTTTATAGATATATACAATCAATATACTATGCATACTACAGTTTGATCAAGTTGTCTAGGCAACAGTACATAGCTCAAAACTATCTACAACACAACATTTTTGTTCAACTGAAAATTCAGAAGAAATTTCTTACCTGCTGATCTTTGTTCAATGCCAAACAAGCACAGGAGACTGAAAACTGGACAATGAACACTAGCAAGAGAATAATCATGTACTGAAGAAAGACAGTTAAGGTTACATTTTCAAAGGAATTTTAGGTAAGCAAAGCATGTGCTTAACAGTTACATGCAGAGTCAAGTATGTACATAAATGGTGCTTAAGAATATAAAAACTATTGAGCATCTAAATGGGAGGGCTTGGCCATCTTTTGGAATGTATAAGTAATGAATAAGTAAGAGCTCAACCAGACAATGCTTTATGATATAATTTAAAAAAAAAATCTATTTGCAATGCTTTGTATTTGTTTTCTACAAGTCACATGATTTTAAAGATCCCATGGAATAGGGATTATAAATTCTATAGTATGAGACAATATATTCATGTAATGTTTAAGAAAAAAGTCTTGTAAATGAATTCCAATAGATCATGGATTAGGGACCCAATTTTATGGGGTTCCACAGGCTTCTGTATAGACTGTTTAGGTTAATCTTTCTATCTACCAATGGGACTCAGTGCTCAGTCTAGAAGATACCATCAGAGATGCTTAGTTATGCAGTTCTCAAACTGTAGATGTGTCTCTCCTGAGGTAACATGCTTGTTAACAGTAAAAATGTTTTCAAATAAAAAAAAATAAATAAAGAGAGGTGAGAAATAACAGACCTCAACTCTATTGTCCCTCTGCAAATTTGTGTACACAGAGTCAATCCCTTATCTCTCTCTAAAAGTGCAAAGTTTCAAAAAGTTCACTGAATAGAAGATTGTTGGGGGCGGAATAGATCTGGACAAGAAGTCTGGAGATAAAATGTGAGAAGCGAGGGAAATATGCTTGCTTTGTTAAAATATTATGTTTGCTGTTGAAGAAAAAAAATCCAGAATACTTAACATTGTTGTTTTAGTTAAAACAAAACAATTTAAATATCTGTCTGGTGATGTTCTCCTCCTAATACAGCATGGCAAGAAAATCTTCCAAATATTAATGATTAACCTGTTGAATTGGAGATAGTTCACCTCCCAATGACTTCATAAATATCTGCTTCAATTACCTTTGGTAAATGAACTAACCAAACAATCATTCATTCATTTTCTGATATAGCTGTAAAACTAATCTGAAAAGTTTTCAAAATAAATCACTGTTTGAAAATGTATAGTGTGTACCTTCTAAAAATGAAAACTACATCTATCTCTGAGTTGTGAAGAATATGTATTAAGGTTATAACCACCAACAAGAATGCACTTTTATGTAGAAAACCATGATTAAATCAGTCTTCCTGACTAGTGATTTAAATTAAATTGATTTAAATCAAATCCACCCTGGTATAATCTATGGCCTTCTATATACTACAGGAGTGCTCCTAGAGGTTGTCTAAAGAAAAATATTCAAAATTGACAAAAAGGTATGTTTGGAGAGAAAAATAGCGAGCCCTAACTCTGCTGCAATACATTGGACAGAATGGAAAAATATTTAGCCAAAACAGGGAATGTCTAATTGCCTTTTAATGCCTATTTAATCTATTTATTTGTATTATAGCAACACCGAGGAACCTGACTAATGGATCAGGACCTGGTCATGCTAGGTGTTTTACAGACAAAACAAAGAAAAAAAGTCCCTGCCCCAGAGAACATTTATCTGCTGACCTTGTTAACAAGATTGCAAATTTAGATCAGCAATATTTTTTGTGATGCAGAGGACTGTTTGCAATAATTTTCATCAGACAGCTGACCTAGAAGTGGGAAGTTCCATACTCCCATTGCTAATCCCAGACTCAAAGTTAGCAAGGGTTTAAATGACAGATTTCCTATGCACAAAGCAGTTAATTTTCCAGGCAGTCTTAGAAGGTAGGCAGCACCCTTTGTTCAAACATTCTTTTTCCTTCAATGACTCAGAGTCTCACCTTATTACAGAAAGTAACCTGAACCTGCATAAAACTTACACAGGAGAGATACTATTACAATACAGGGTCTTACATCTCGTTTTCTTAAATCAGTTTTTTAAAATGCATCATTCTGAAAGGAAAAACCCTTATTTTTAAATATTGAAGAGGCAAGTTTTGAAAATTTGCCATTAGTTTTCTGTCGTTCATTGACAGATTTGTATACTTCTGGAAATTGAACTACTGTATTAGCAAAATTAAAAGTCACTCTTTGATTTTTGGGTGCAGTCCACTAATGAAAAATAAAGTTGGAGTTGATGAATCTTTACCCCCCCCCCAACCCCAGAACGAAAGCTAAATACAATTATCATGATTTAACCATGGAGGGAATCACCATAAACTACTTATATAGTGTCAACACGGCACGTTGTCAATAGCATTAGACAAAGTCCATGCTGTGACCCCAAGAACCTCTCGGTGCCACCTGGCAAAGGGTTCACTGATCTGTAACAGCAACTGCTATCAGGCCTGACAAACTCACTACACCCAACACACTGCTTTCATAGTATATATCCAAAGAGGAACAAGTGAAATATCTAATAAAAGCGTATGTCCCACGGATCATCTTAATTATTATGAGATGTATGAGTGGGTGATATTTAGGATGCATGTATGTACTGAAATTATATTTTAGAATCTGTGACCCATGCAGGTGTGACAAACAGGTTTTTGTCAGACAAAGATGTAGCTTCACCTGTCTGCCTTGGTTCACATATAAAGTAAGCATTGTAAGCCAACACAATGAAAGTTGGTTGGCACACAACATCAACACAAAGATGTGAAAGCACCATGGAACCAGCACACTAGGGAATAAACCACAGGGGTCATCCTGACTCTAGGGACAAAAACAGTAGATTTGGGGGTGTAACAAAGCAGCAAGAGGACATGTTTTTTATCCTTCACTGAAGTGCCAAAAAGAACTGTGGGATCCTAGTCATGTTGATTCGTGATGCTGGGAGATTGCTTTAGACAAGGATTTTAGCTTTTTAAAGTTAAGGTTTGACTCTAAGGATCGTGTTATACTTTTTGTTTTATATGTAACCATTTCTGTTTCCACCTGTCAGCCTTAATCACTGACTTGGGTTGTGGCTTTTGATAATAAACTTAAGATTGTTTTTACTATAAATATATATCTCAGTGATGTGATATTATCAAGGACCTGCTCCTGAACTGTATCAGACAAACTGTGTGTATACTGTTCCTTTGGGGGCAGCAAATCTGGTAATTTCTATTGGTGTCCAGTTAGAGGGGCTGGATGCTGCAGGGGGATGTTTCCAGGGGGCTTGGATACACCTATTGTTAACCTGCAAAACAGAGCTGTGCGGAGATTGTGGTTAGTGGTGTTAGGGAGCTGACACCCAGTTCAGTTAAGCACCGGCAAGTCTGCCTCTCGCTGAGGTAGGAGGGTAACAAGGAGACTCTCAGTCCTGGGCACCCCGAGAAAGTGTCTCACATGCTCAATTCTAATTCGGGCTGACAAAGGACTAGATGTGAATGAAAACAAAAGGAGGCTGAATTAAATAAGCGTCACCTGCTTCACAGAGATCCAAAAATCCAATTGGTGCCTGAGAAATATCTAAATTTCCCTATAACAAATTCAGGGAAACCTGTTACACCAGGCCTGTCATCTGACTCCACTACAACACAGTTGAGTTTACTTTAATCTAGAGTTAGAACTGTGTTGTAATTAGGTCAGGGGACAAACATGCAGTAAAAGTCTCCTGCGACTGTTATAGATGTGATGTAGATGAGCCCTTGACAGAAGCAACATTTTCATCATACAAATAAAAAGGAAGCAAGAGGTTAAAAAAAAATTGACAGTGGATGAAGGGGAGCATTATGGAGAACGAATTTTGTGGCACATAAATTGGGAAGGAGCGTTGGGGCACCTTTTTGTTCTGTGTTTGTATAGCATCTAGCACAATGGGGTTCTGATCCACAACTAGGAATTACTTTAATACAAACACACACACACAAAACCCCACCACCACAACAACTTGTGTTTGTAAATTCCCAATCAAAGGATACAAAGAAGAGTAACACCTGATGGTGTTTGACTGCACCGATCAATCCAACCAAAGCAATAAGGAACAGAAAGATCCCCACTGCAATTACCACGCCAACTACTCGGAAACTAGAAATGAGGCCAAAGCCTATACCCCATGCTGCAATTCCAATCAGCAGCAGGCTGACCAGCTAGAGGGAGGAAGGGGGGAGAAAAAAAAAAAAAAAAAAAAACAATTAATAAGTAAAAAAAAAAAAAACTAAAAACCGAAAGACACAAAAAAAAAAAAAAAAAAAAAAAAAAAAAAAAAAAGAAAGGGGGAAAAAAAAAAAAAAAAAAAAAAGACAATTAGTATGTAAAAGAAAAATAGTCTAGATTGCTAGTGCTCCTAGCACTAATGTTTCCTGCCATTAAAAGATGATACATCTCTCTCCCCTCATCACTGAAAAACAAAAGTCCAAAATGTGAAGTTAACAATTTAAAAAATGAGCTCCTGTAGAGAGTTCTCTTGTTCATAACTTAAAGTGTACATTTACCTTTCAATATTGTGAATGTGAGGTCTGTTCCAACACATTCCATCCCCAATTTAAGATCAATGTCTCATACCAGACACACTAATATAACAATAGGGATTATAATAGAGTTGAACATGCATCTGAAACAAGGATTAACAGCTTTATACCACAGATTGAGAAATAAATTAGAGTTCCAAATACCTTGTGAGAAATGCAAGGTCTATTTAAAGAAACAGGATATACTTGGCTCCGTTGCTATGTGAACAGGTTGGAAAAAATATCCAACTTTCTAGGCATATAGTCCAATCAGCACTACACCAGTGTTAATCTTCAACATTTTCTGAATTGTTGATGTTGGGACAATACACATTTACAGAGATCAAATGCAAATATGCTGTTTGTTAGAGTAGCGTGTCAAATAATGCAGACAGCAAAACAAACAGTCAGAAGTCTTCTCCTCACAGAATGTTCCTTTGGGAAATCAGCTTCACTATGAAGCAAAGACTACGCTAATAATCAGAACAAATTCAAAATGCTCTCAGTAAGCAGTTTCCTTCCTTTCAAAGGATGGTATTCTGAAAATGCAGATTGTGGTTCAGCTAGTTTATTAGAAATATTGTTTTATGAGCAGGAAGGTCCAGCCTTTCCTGTTTTCACTCTAACACAAAGAAAAGTGTTGGAGCCATGAAAAACTCCAGGATAGTTAGATCGAGGGTGGGATATGAAGGAGGGACGTAGACTACAAATAATCAGAGCCCTAAACAAACTATGAAAGAAGCTGGGGGGAAAAAAAAGGGGGGGGGGTGCTCACTTCTGGCCTTGCCAAAAATAACTGAGTTTTGTAATTAAGTGCAGCTGTAAGTGTTTTGCCTAGTACAACTATTTGATTTTACTAATCACAAATGCAATCTGAACACTACATGTGGCTTTCAATTTCCAGTTAAACAAATTTACAGGAAGACACCTTCCTGCCTCCTCTCCAACCCCAAACAAAAGATTTCCAACCCAGTTCCAATGTAGTTACCCAGGACCATTTTTAAAGGTATTTAGGTACCTAGTGGGACTTTCAGAAGTCCCACTATGGAAGGTCAAAAATCACACAGGCCCCAAAATACTATTTTTGACATATATAAAAATCCACTAGGTCACTAAGGGCTTGTCTACAGGGGGACATGCAGGAAAAATAATCCAAACTAATTAAGGTGTGAATTTGAAATGGATTAGTTAAACTACATTAAACTCCTGTATGAACACTCATTCAGAATTAAAGTGGCCTTCATTCAGTTTAGTTTAATTCACTTCCAAGGTGAATTAAGAGAAGCCTAATTAAGGCTGCTTTAACTCTGAACAACAGCATCGACATGGGGATGTAATGCTGTTTAATTAATCCGGTGGCTTGGATTTTTCATTTTACTGAACTAGTCTTAGAATAAAACTAGGTGAGGAATACTCTGAATGACATTGGCAAACAGCCCAGTATCTCTCAAGGCCTTTTTCTGAGGAGGTAGGGAATGTGTTTTGTATTGATTTTCATAAAGACAGACAATGAAAAGTTCAAAAAGGTAAAGATACACCTTGCATAAGTCTCTAAATATCAAACAAGACCCAAACAAGAACCACTTTTGCTCACTTTGAACTGTAACTTCTTAAGCCTCTGTTCCAAAGATATCTGCTACCTCTTTTTCCTGCCAGTCCTAGCTAAATGCCTTTTCCCTTAGCCATGTGTCTGAGTGGTTATTCGGACCCACCAGGGCTAGCACTACTTGCTGAAGCACCTACAGCAGCGGTCCCCAGACTTTTGAGGGCCACGCTCCCCCTCTTACCCCTGTCCACAACCCCCATCCCCAGAGCTGGGAGCAGGTGGGGGGGGGGGAGAAAGGAGGAGGGGAGATGTGACCAGGGTAAGGGGGCTGAGGCTGGGGCTGGGAGCGGGGCCAGGGACCGAGCCACAGCCAGGGGCAGGATCGGAGTCGCAACTGGGCTGCAGTGGGGGCTGGCAACCGGAGCCATGTGTGGCTCCACTCCTGGACCAGCCCTGCCCCGAATCTCAGCCCTGGGCAGAACAAGCGGTGTCGCAGTCAGGCTCCCAGCCGGGTGCAGAGCTGCACTGAGCCAGGGCTGTGGCTGGGGGCAGGGCCAAAGCAGAGCTCGGGGTGAGGAGGGGCTGAGTGGTGCTCTTCCCCCATGGGGACTGCCCTGAACCCACTGTGCCCCCCAAAGGCCCCACCATACCCTCATAGGGGGGCACATCCCACACTTTGGGGTCCTCTGACCTACAGCATGTACCTCCAAGTCACAGCACACCTGGCACACTACTGGCACCGTAGGGGTTTGGGGTATTGAGCAGCCTCCCATCCCATTTATATAGTAGCCCACCTGTAATGCTGACTTTAGCTATGATAATGGAGAAAACCTCTCTCCATTAAAGTTTGTGTGTGCACTGAAGCAGCTATAATGAAAGGACTGGTTGACTCACAGGGATTGGTAACAGGAAATTTCACCTGTAGGTCACTTGTTTAACTAAAGGAGTGATCAAAGCCTAGTTACTAAACAACCTTGTGACGTGACACAGGCAATATATGTGAAAGGAGATAGGAATGCTGCAAATCAGAAAAGCCAGTTCTGCCATTGGCATGACAGTCCAGCTTAACTATGCACAATACTTGCTAGTTCAGAGCAAGATAGGTTTGCTGCTTTTAACTGAAAGAATAATCTCCTTTTCAGAGGAATTGTAACAAAAATGTCTCTGATGTTTAGTCCATGTTTTCTATACATGTGTTAGAGAACCATTTATTTTTTGCAACTGTTAGAAAATCTAGGTGCCTGTATTTTCATCTTTGTTGGTTTTCCGTGACCAACTTGAGACACCTGGTACCATATTTTCAGAACAACTGAGGACCCAGTCCTCATGTTTTTTTTTTTTTCCCACAGCAGGAATGGGAGGGTGGAGTAGCATAAAGACATCTTTAAGCCACCTTTGTGCCTCCTATATTCTGGACCTTGCTAGGGGCCAGCCTAAGGGCTGCTCTAAATTATGCTGGTTTAGAAGAGCCAGACTATAGTGCACTCTATGCCCCTCCCTCCTCTCGATTTTCCCCCTGTAGCTGTGCACCAATCACTTCCTTACACTGAAGATATTTCTCGGAGACATGTTTCCTCCCTCTTTATATCATCATAAAGGAGGTGGATAGTACAGCAGAAGTCTGGCCCAGGTGTGTCTTATGCTCCACTCCCAAATATTGAGGCGCACAAAATTAGTGAACCCTTTTGAAATGTTGACCTTAAGTTTATTAACCAAACAACTGTTTGGTTACAACTAAAGTCACCTTTTGAGACTCAATCAAATCTTCTCTTCAAACTCTCAACAAAAGTACAGTGCCACACAAAATGTAGAAGAATATATAGCAGCAATAGGCAAGCAAACTATCACAAACCTACACTCATCTGCTAAACCAGGGGTCTCAAACACGCGGCCCGTGGGCCGCATGCAGCCCGCGAAGCTCTTCCCTGTGGCCCGCCAAACTCCCCGCCCCCCCCTCCAAGTTATTTTATGTGGCAGCTAAGCTCCCTGCTCCCCAATGTTTGGGGCCGGGTCTCTCCCCCGGCCCTGCCTGCCACTCCCACGCGTCTCCCCCGGGCTCACTTGCTGCCCCTTCACTGCCCCAGAGCCTGCAGCTCATGCTGACTCCACTCCACTCTGCTGGCTTCTGGCATCACCTGCTGCCGCAGGGTCCTAGTGCCCCCCTCCACTATGTCCAGGGCAGGCTGCCCTTCCGCTCTAGTCCTGGGCCTCTCCAATGCCCCAAACCCCTCATCCCCAGCCCCACAGCCCTCACACCTGCACCCCCTCTTATCCCCAAACTCCATTCCAGAGCCTGCACCCCACCCCCTGCCCCAGCCCGGAGCCTGCACCCAGCACCCAAACTCCATCCCAGAGTCTGCACCCCAGACTCCCTCCCCCACCCAAACTCCCTCCCAGAGCCATAGGCAGGTGGGGGTGGAGTTTGTGGGGGGGCAGGTTCTGGGCACCACCAAAATTTCTACAAACCTGCCACCCCTGGAAGACGCAGAGCAGGGGTGGAGTGGTGGTGCACCCAGTGCAGTGGGGGGCTTTAACAGAAGTAAATTTAACTAAGTTCGTGTTTTGTCCTTTGAGTGAGGTGCATTACTGTTGGTGGCGCTTAGCACTTTGCAGGAGGGAGGGGGGAGGAGCAGGGAGCTGTGCGCTCAGGGGAGGAGGTGGAGAAGAGATGGGGCAGGGGCGGGGCCTCATGGAAGGGGTGGAGTGGGGGCAGGGCTGGGGGCAGCGAGGGGGGGGTGTGTGTCAGTGATGCGGCCCTTGGGCCAATGCACTAGTCCTCAAGTGGCCCTCGTGGTCATTTGAGTTTGAGAGCCCTGTGCTAAACCAAAGCCAAAATTCTGAGGTCTTGTTTTGACCACCTCTTGTTTCATCCAAGTATTTGGAGATTCCTCGAGAAAGACAATTCTGGCAGGGTTGCCTATATAGCCAGAACCATGATTTATTGGAAATCCTGCATAATGTCCATACCAAAGAGATAAAACAGGGAGTGCAGGCTTCTGGTAAGTCCTAGTAACTCCATAATTCTTGCCACAGCTCCTCATGCTTCCCCAGACCTGTATGTGGAGTCAGTGGAACCTATACCATCAGCAGTACG